CTTGAATACACATCTTTTCAATTCGCAATCGTGCGAATCTCAGTTTCGTAACGCAAGAGCTCTCAGTGGAGCATACTCCACTATAGTTAATTTTACCGTACATGATTTTTTACGTCGAGCTAAAAAGCTTTCAATGTTGAACGATTTAAAATCCAAAGAAACAGATCAACAGAAGTTAAAATTTGCAGTTCATCATAAACGCAGACACGACCAAGAAATGCTGGAAAAACAAAACTTAAGAGATGTAAGAAAATTAGAAGTAGAAGAAATCATTGAAAGTGCTTATACAAGAGCAGTGGAATTAATTAAACAGTTCAACATAATACCAGCTTTGAAGGAAAATAATATATTTAAAATGAATGATTTAAGTGAGTTTATTAGTAAACAATTAAAAACAAAATCAAAACTGAGTGACAATTCTAAAATGGAAGAAGATACGGATGATGACAGTGAATTTGAACTGGATGATGACGATGATGATCAGAAGGAAGAAGAAGACCTGAGTGGTGACGAAGAAACGGATGGGAATGAGAAGAGCAGTGATGAGGAAGATGAGATTGATTTAAACAATATTAAAACGATTAAAACTGATCTACGTGGGATGAGAATTCGAAATGAAATACCAAAAGATCAACAGAATTGTTATTTTAAAATAAAAATCAATGGAACTGAAAAGTTTTTGCACAAGCAAACCGATTGTTTTCTGTTAACAAATGAAAATTCAACATTATCTTCAGATCGACTATCTCGCGTGATGCAAATGAGCAAGAAACAGATTTAACATTTTCTTTTTGCTTTATTTATAAAATGTTTGAGTTCTCCTTCAGGTGTAAATAAATTGAGAAAATCTATCTCTTGTTCGTTTTGCTTTTTACAGCTTCTACTCTCGATGAAAAGCATTGAAATCAGTTGAAAAATGCTTCATATTGTTGACAAACCTACAAAATCCAAGATAATCGGCCAAATCGGTTGAAATCGATTTTGAGCCACTAAATCGCTTGAAATCGATTTGGAATCGATTTAAATCGATTACAGTCGTCCAAAATCTATTTAAATCGATTTCGATGGTCCAAAATCGATTCAAATCGCTCAAAATCGGTCAAAATCGAAAGAGCTCCAAAATCAGCTTTTTCCCCCTTGGAAAAATATGTAATAGATCTCAATTCAGTTAATTGAATGGAAAGCATGGAAGAGATCTCGGTTGTTTTTTGTACATAAGTTTATAACTAACACAAAACTATGCTTAATTGATGATATTTTATCTTATATAATATTTCTTAATTGATGATCATGTTTTCCTTAATTACTCATCAATTAAGAAAATTGTTTAATACGATCATTTGTGCCAATTAAGAACAACTAAAAATAATAATAAAAATGAAAGGCCATATCAAAATCAAAGCATGATTTTTTCTATTGTTTTCTGCCATGTCTCGTCGAGCTTGGCAAAAGCTTTCATCAGGCATCAGGAACTTACCGATTATACTCCTCATCATTTCATTCTTCCATTCGATTTAAAGCGACCTAGACCGATTTAAATCGATTTTGGCCGATTCAGTCACTCAAAATCGATTTTCAATCATTTTGGTACCCAAAATCAGCTTTTTCCCCCTTGTATTTTTCTCGAGATCTATTCCA